TACAATAAGCATTAAAATCTTTTCCTAGAAAATCCTTAAATTCTATAAATTGAAAGATTTTTGTAATGTAATATTTATTTTTTTATTTATGGTGTTTTTGAATTAATTTTTATGTATCTCAAGATTAATTTTTTTAAAGTGATCTCAAGGATACACTTCCACATTAGTATAATGTATTCAAAAAAATTAATTTCATTGAATATTGGCAAAAAAACTTAAATCCTAGATTTAAAATATTTATTTAACTGTAGATCTACATTTGAAGGTTAATATAACATAAAATTACTAGAAGAGTACTAAAAAGTGAAAACAATAGTAATAAAAATTTGAATTAAAACTGACAGTCACATGGTTTGATGTAAAAATTATTTATGTTTTTAATCACAAATTTAGCATTCAATTCTTAATTTTTAGATTAAAAAAAGTTGAATTAAAAAGAAAATAAAAGCTTTAAAAAAAAGGAAAAAAAAAAAGAGAAGCAAACTAAATCATGGGCTCATGAGCCATGATTTTTATAAATTTTACGCACTACAGTCCAAAAAGTTTCTTCCATGCCTTAAGGATCTTGCTTCTGCTACGCTTCTTCTTCTTCTCCCCGGATCTTACCGTCTCCACTGTGTCCTCCGCCTCTTGCTCATCGTCAAACTGCACCGTTTCCAATGTCACAGGCTGGTCATGGATCCTGCTGTACCTTTCCGAGACAGAGGACGACCTCTGAGTGGAGAAAGCTCTGTTCACCGCTGCCTGAAGTGCGTACGCCGAAGAAACCGAACTGTTCCTCCTCAGTTTTGGACCAGAAGTAATGCCTTCTAGATTTTCTTCTTTCTCTGGTAATGGATCATTCCTGCCGGCATTCTTTGTCGGCTCGGGATTTGGTTGGTTATTGGGTGTGGGGTTCGGGGGTTGGGGAAATGGGGAACGATCTGGAGAGGAGTGGTCTGTGGATCCTGATGATTTGACGTTGCCATTGCCATTGCCATTGCCATTGCCATTGCCTTTCATCTTGGAATGGCCATCCATTTTGTTGTTCTAATGGAATGGGAAATGAAGAGGGATATGGAGATTTGAGCTAGAAGGGAGACCAATATATTAAGGCAATAACATGCATAGTTGACATTAAAAAAATGATTTTCCTATTAGGCGAATTTAGGACATTAACTAAGGATGTAATAAATATAATATTTTATAATTAATTTTTATAAAGATTAATTTAAATTTAATTAATTCATTAATAAAGCTGTTAATGTGACATTGATATGAAGACAAGTTAATTTTTGTTATTTTTCACGTAAATTAATTGTAAAAAAGTGTAGTTATTACATCTTTAATTTGTACCATAAAGGCAAAAAAGGTTAGGCAACTAAAAAAAAGGATTTTTCTATATGTATTGACATATATATTGACAAAAGCGTGCAATAAATATATATTTTTATAATTAATTTTTATTAAAATATAAATATTAACTTTAATTTAATCCATTAATTAATTAAAATCATTTATGTGTTAATAAAATTAAAATATATACCAATTTTTATATTTTTTAATGTAAATTAATTATGAAAATATATATTTATT